GTTGGCAATATTCGGCACGTTTGCTCTGAAAAAAAAAACCTCTTATCAACGAGAGTGGGGTGTAATGTCTTTAAGTGACGCCTTAATTCATTTGGCTTCATGATGTCCGATGTCTTTCCTCTCACCGTAGTCACAGTGAAGCCAAGAGCTACATACGCTTCGTCATTATTATTATTTACTCATCTTCGCTTTCGGTAGACCTCTTTTCTCCTTCTCTCTCTCTCCGTCTGTCGACTTCGTGTCTACACTTGAAGCACATACTCTGTGCCGTGTGCAAAGCGCGCATGGTCAGTGCGAATAAAACACCGAGCGAATGCTCCCAGCGCACTCTGCCAAGGTGAGCGCCACTGCCCCCTAGAGTAGTCGAGGTGCAGTTGCACTTTATTCTCGGACTAAAAAAAAAATCTAAATAAAAAAGCATGTTCCCCGAGGCCAAACGCTCCCCCCCCCCCCAGGTTTGACTGAATCGTGACAGTCTGCAGCTCTGTGGTGGTTGACCGAGCTCTGTCTCTGAGGCTGATCAACCCCTGTTTTGTTTGTCTGTACAGATTTCTTGGGTGTCTTGATAGAATTATGGTATATAGCACCTAATTTCTAATACAAACCAGAGACAATGGGCCATGCATCACCCATCACGAGGTACAATGTGTAATTTCCGATATGTTATTTTCAGCGCACCAGCAAGTGCACCAGTGCAAGAATGTCACCGGTTGACACAAAATGCAAAAGGTAAAATCCTGAAAATGTAGCAAGATGACAGAGGAACTGTTAGGCTTCATTCACATTGTGTCATCTTCTCTGGTCGTGGCTTGGGTCAAAATTATTTTTTTTAACAATATCGAAAAAATTATTTCATACTCAAGTTGATTTCATTTTATGGTCCAGCCCCAGTTGACATCCAATTAAGCCAGGGGTGGGGAATTCAATTTGCAAAGGGGCCACATGAGAAACTGGAATAGCCAATATTCTAACCTCAACTTTTGAGTTTGTATTCAGAAAAAGCATATTGTCTTCTTTCAGTAAATTTCTATATACATAGATTCTGGTATGCATTGTTCGAATTGAGAAATACACATTTTAAATTAAAAAAAAATAATTTCAGTAATCATTCAAACTACATCTTTACACTTGAAAAATTAGAACAAATTTGAGAATCAATCGACAAAGCGCGCACACACACACACACACACACACACACACACACACACACACACACACACACATATATACACACACGCACGCACGCGTTGAGTGCAACGCCTAACTGTATCATTTTACCTCATTGTCAATAAATACTTCCCCTTTATTGGTATATTTGGGAGTCCTAACAATGAACAGCTAAAATGTTTTGTTGATTGATGTATAATGAAACTGAACAAATTTGCATACAAAATCTTTAGGCCAAATTCTCTTGGCCTACTTGCGTACACCGGAAGAAATTAAAAATGTTGCCAAAATTAAGACCAAATTTTGCTTTTCTGTTTTTTGGAAAAATAGCTCCAAGAGGGGTCAGAATAAAACTCGCAAAAACACATCTAACTTGGCAACAGTGCCAACACAATTCGAAGCTCTTGGTCGCTACCTCGCTTGAACATGGTCCGCATGTGGGTACATTACGTAAAAGCGCAACTTTCAAAATAAAAGCACAGAGTATTTTTAATTTGACTTTCCTGTACGACTGAGAGCCTCCACAAGCAAGCCTGTACCTTATAATTTGCTTTTTGACTTATTTTTGCCTTTATGTGGACGTCATTGTTTTTTGTTTGTTTGTTTGTTTGTTTTTTTAAGATCAGATTTGCTCCCCAATCTTTTACTGCAGTGTGCCCAAAATAATAATAAAAAAAAAACATTTAAATATATTTAAGCTTCAAGCAAAATGTAATGCAATGAAATACAGCACATTAAAAGACAAGTAACAACAACAGTACAACAGAAAACATAAATCAATCATTTCTTCAATTACAATACCAACCCTGTCTCAGACACATAATCCTTTAAACAATGAAACAATATTTTAGTTCAGGGTCTGAGCAACGTTTTGATGTGTAGTGGTGACCAACAAAAAAGCATCTAAGAAAGAAACCATACAGGCTACAGTACGGTACTGAAAATGCAAGCATGTAATGCAATATTAGTTAAGCAAGGCAGGTTTGGCAAATGTGAGTGGCAGTGCACCATTACCAACTCAAAATGGAACAATTTTATAAGAATAACAATTAAATAAAATGGTATAATTTCATGTCCAGCATGTGGTCGACTCGTTAGCACGTCCGCCGCACAGATGCAGGGTTCAAATTGGGCCCCGGCCTTTCTATGTGGAGCTTGCATCTTCTGCCCGGGCTTGCGTGGGTTTTCTCCGGGTACTCCGGTTTCCTCCCACATTCCAAAAACATGCATGGCAGGCTGATTGAATACTCCAAATTGACCCTAAGTGTGAGTGTGAGCGCGGACGGTTGTTCGGCTTTGTCTGCCCTGCGATTGTCTGGCAATCAGTTTAGGGTGTCCCTCACCTACTGCCCGAAGACAGCTGGGATAGGCTCCAGCAGTCCCCGCGACCCTTGTGAGGAAAAAGCGGATCAGAAAATGGATGGATGGATTTCCAAGGTGCTGAGGCAGCAGCCTGTTGCAGCAGCTCCTACTTCCTACTTCTCTTTTATCTTTGTTTCCATCCATCAATCCAAATCGCTTATCCTCACGAGGGTGGTGGGCGTGATGGAGCCTATCTGTTTCTTTCTGCAGAAACGTTTCAATGTCATCGACTGTGTTCATGTTTACAAAATAGGTACAGTGCATTTCTTATCAAAATTATTATCTTGATTAATATTATGACTATTTATTGTGTATTGCGTTCGGTATGTATATATCACACCGCGATGAGGGTTCTTTCTGTTTGTCTGGTCACTTGCTGTTTTATTTTGAAAGAATGACTCTCCTCTCGTTTCAAGTCACTAACCCTTCCTCCTGTGCTAGTCTGATTGTCAACCCCGCACTAATTGTTTGCACCTGTGTTTCAATGGTCCTTGTCTCCCTTTGTCCTGTGCCAGTTTGTTTCGTCCTTGTGCGCGCACTCCAGCCTCTCGCCATAGACCCGACCAGTCCTTGCCTTGTTGCCTCGTCTTGCCTATTTTGAGTTGTCAGTCACTGATCCTCAAATAAATATACCTTTATACTTTGAACCCTACAAATGTGTCCTGCATCCAAGCCTGCTTCTGACAGTATATCCAGAACTTGATTTCAAAGTTACCTTTTTAAAAATTTTCGACAAAACAATTGAGCTTGAGTTCAGTCCACATGAAACCTTGCTGTGCCTCATTCTGGTGACTGCTAAATCCTAAACCTTTAGATGTATATGCAGAACAGGCAATAATGTAATGTAATAATGACATTTACAAAGCATATTTCAATAAAAAAAGAACAAATATGAGTTTATTAGTGGGTAACATTTTCATGTTCCTCTTACAATCTGAATTTAGGTACCGAATTAAATATGATTTTCAGAAACTAAAATTTAAAAAAAAAAATTCTGTCTTATCTGGAAGAGTGAATCAGCTTGCTAATAATGTTTTATAATTTCTCACTACAGAACACCTGTTACTCAACAAGAGAATTTAAAATACAACATGTTAAAAAAAACACTTAAAAAAACATACAGCGGTCCCCTTTTGTTTTTAAATATCACAGGCTGGTGTCGGCGGTCGTCATTATTGGTACACTGACAAATTTGGGGACTGTTGTTTTGGTTTCCGACTGGGTATCCCTGCAGAAAAACACAGCAGGGTTTTTACAAGCCCACATAGTACCTTCTACCTCTGTTCTTTTTCCTGGACTCGAATTTGATAGTTTGCAATTATTAACTCCCACTCGACTTAGATAGCGGTCCCTTATCCGCTCTACTTGATTCAGTCCAATCTCTCGATTCTGGGTGTGGTTAGACAAGTACGCCGCTATACATCTGGTCCGATAGCCCTCTTCTCGACTCCGTCCCAGTAACATTGATATATTGGGGTTTCTCAATGCATAGATGAGGGGGTTGACGGCTCCATTTGTCCACGCAAGCCAGATGGCAAATGTGTCCATCGCAGGGTTGAAAGTGTAGTCCCCTAATGCGGTGACTAACCCCATTAAACAATATGGACCCCAGCAAAAAATGATAAAAACAATCATAATGAGAACTGTGGTGGCTGTGCGCATCTCACTGTAGAATCGTAGTAAGTAAGCATATGTGGTCACTGGCCTGACTCGTATTTCAGAGAGACGAACTGTCTTACAGATGTTGTAGTGGCAGAAACACATCAGGGCAAAGGGCAGTAAAAAACACACAATTATAAGAGAAATGCTATATGCTGTCCCCAGACGCGAGGTCCCAGAGTGGAAAACATACATACAGTGGTAGAAACCTTGCTTATGGACTTGTGTTGACTTTCGCATTAAAACATACCACGGGAGAGAAAAAACAATTGCTATTAACCACACAGCGATCAACAACTTAGTGGCTTTCTGTCGTCCAATTGTAGCCCGTGGCTGTCTGACGATGGCATAATACCTGTCAAACGAAATTAAAGTCATGGTCAGGGTAGAGATGATGCCAAAGCAGCTGTTGAAAAATCCATTAGCCATGCAGAAACGTTGCCCAAACATCCAGACACCGTCCTTACTGAAGAGCATGACAAAGGAGAACGGCAGGCATAGGATGGCTGTGAGGAAGTCGGACAGCGACAGAGACATGATGAATGCATTTGTAACTGTCCGTAGCTGTCTGTGTTTGATGATGACAGTTAGGACTGCAAAATTACCAAGGCTGGAGAGGAGGAAGATGGAGAGGAGAACTAGGGCCTGGGCTGCCACCAAAATGCCCTTCAGGACTGTGTTTGCCTCTGCGACGCTCAGTACTAATGGTGTTGGTGTCTCATGGCTTCCTTGGACTCTGAGCGAAGTTAGATTTTCACTGGTGGATACTGTGGCCTCTGGGGTGGTGGTCACGAGGTTGGTAAATGAATAAACAACCCTACAAAGATGAAATACGGTAAGTCATGCATGTGAAATCATTTTTCAACATGTTAGAAAAGGGATATACAGTCAAACCTCGGTTTTCAAACGTCTCTCTTCTCGACCAAATCGGTTTTCGACCAAAAATAGAGTTTTTTATGCCTCGGATTACTACTGAAAATCTGTTCTCGACCAAACTGAGCGCACTTGAATGCGCCACTTGACTCCTCCCGCTTTCCTTACACGAGGAAGTGACGCTTCCTCGGGTAGACGAGGAAGTGACGCTTTCTCGTGTAGTGTTCTATTGTGAGCAGATGTCTTCAATAAAGTTTTTTTTTTTAAAAAGCGCGTGGTTTCAGTTTTCAAACAGATCGGTTTTTGAACAGCCTTCTGGAACGGATTATGGTCGAAACCGAGGCATGACTGTATATTCTTTCATTCATTTTCCGAACCGCTTGATCCTCACTTGGGTCGCGGGGGTTGCTGGAGCCTATCCCAGCTGTCTTCGGGCAGTAGGCGGGGGGACACCTTGAATCGGTTGCCAGCCAATTGCAGGGCACACAGAAACGAACAACTATTCGCGTCCGAAATAGTTGAAATTTTGAGTGTTAGGGACACACACACACACACACACACACACACACACA